ATAGTTGGTGTTCACCTCACCCTGATGAAAAAAAGATGAAATTTGCTTTTGACCTTCGCCCCTCAGGCTTGTGAGGCTGGTACAGAAATCTGGGGAACTGCAACACTAAACTGTGGTTCTAATTTTAGCTTATTATTAAAAAATGTGGCACTTAAATGTTGAACCATATGTAAATAAAACACTTCAGTCAAATTAACATTTATAATGTACTTAAAGTACTTTCTATTAGTGTTTGTGCTGACATTTGCACAGTCCCAAATTCAGCAAAGAGCTGCAGCATGTGCTGGTAACTAAGCATGTATGAAGTGCTTTAAAGAAGCAAACATGAACAGCTTCTTCTTTTCTGCCAATTTTGGCATGAAACTCTGCTTAGGTTCCTCCAAACAGATGGAAACATCACTGAGCCCACCCTTGGTCACGGTGTCTGTTACCGTAGGCAAATGAATACAGTTGGAAGTCTGTCAGGCTTTCCTGCCAAAGGGTCAGTACAAGGTCAGCACTTGTACTTGCAGGATTTTCACTTTTTATATAACCAGCTGAATATTAAATGTTCCTCCCTTTTTCACCATGATCCAGCTGTGGAACTACAAGATTGCCCTCCTGTTAGACACAAGAATACCAGGAACTATAAGCATATTAACTTGACCTCTCTGGCAGCCGTGCCCATCACCCATGATTTCAATGTGTCTGGCATCTTTTATGTCATGCTGCACTTTACACTGGAAGAAACAAGTGAATATTCATAGAGCAGTATCTACTTAATCTGGGACAATACTTCATAGAAGCCAAATACCCTCCTACACCTTAAACTCCATCCATCTGTTGTATAGTTTCTTTAAGATGGTGGAAAATCCATGAAAAGTGTTTCAACTTCCAGGGCTGGCATTTCCTCCTTCTCACTCCTAGATGAATTTATCACTTCTGTTTCTCTCTCCTCAGAGGAGCAGGCAGGAGCTTTGACCATCTATTTCCTGGCTTCTGTCTTAGATATCCATCCCTTAGAAGAGGTCTTTGACTTTATCTGAAATTCAGGAGTTTGATGTTCTATGCAGGGAAGTCACTTCCCCTGTATTCTGTTTCTGCTTTCCAGCTGCAAACTGGAGACAGTGAAGCTAACCAAAACAGAATATTTTGAGTCTGATGCTGACATGTGCTACATGAGACCTAGCTGTCATAATTTTATTTTCAATGTCATATACGACTTAGCTGCAGAAGAAAAATCATTACTTATTTTCTGAAATAGTATATGATCATACTTCAGTAAAATAATGTTTTTGAGAACAAACTATCTCACTGTGTTTTGTTAGTTATCAAAAATTATCTAAACTCACTAATATTCATTAATTATTTCTTCTCCTACAAATCTTTCCTTAGCAATTGGAACTCTGTCAGAGATTATATAAGCTGCACTTCCAGCTGCTGTTGCTTTTTCAGTCCTACTGTAAACTTATTGGACAAGTGCACGAAGTGAGTTCCATGCCAGAGGTATGTAACAAACTACAAAGTCCTATACTGAAAATTCCCCTTTATTTTCATGTTCTTATTTTTCCTTTCTCTGGACTTAACAACAAGAATCCCACTATTTCACACTGACTATAAATCTGCAGGCATACATAATCAACTAAATACCTTAATGTCCTGGTTTTTTAATTCTGTAATATTAACAAACCTTTTTCTTTAAATATTTTGACATGCACACTCTCACTTTTGACCCAAACATCTTTTTGTTTTTAGATATATCTATGAATTTTACTTTAAAAAAAATTCACAAGAACAGTACTGTTAATTAAGCTTATTTTCAGCAGTTGCTTAAAATATGTAATACTTTGAAATATCTTTGAGGTGATCACTTTAAGCTGAATTATTATCATTTAACTTACCATTCCATGTGTATTTTTCTCCTGGTAAGGAGAAAAATGTATATATTTTAAACTATTGCGTAGGAGAAGTTGTTGTACTCTGCTTTGTAAAATAAAATTTTAAGCTATTATATGTATTTTATAACATATTCCAGTAGTTTATATTCTGTTTATAGTGGCCTATAAACAGAAATTGTTTTATCAGTTATGCTGTCGGAGTAAAAAGAGTTTGAATATTTATCATATCTTAAGGATATGTTGTATGTTGTGAAGGCTGGCTCACATTGTGACTAGGCTGTTCACTTTTAAGACAGGACAATAGGCATCTACAACTGCTACAGCAGTACAGTAAGTTTTAAAAATAAGTTGTAAAATATTTTGTATTCCTTATAATTGATTTCTGTAAGTGTATTTCACAGTTAAGACTTTGTTAAATTGTTATAAATAATGCAGCCCATGTGTCCGGTTTTCAGCTGTTTGGAGGGCCTGGAAAGGCCCGGGGTGGCCTTGGGGCAGCCCGCGTATCAAAGGACGCGAAGAGGCTTCAGTTCTTCTTTCAGTCTTTGTGTTTATTAATTGTTTATCTAAAAGATTTTCTTTCGGCCCGACAGAGGTCTGCTCAGCAGCCAGCCATGAGCACACTGTCCTGCCCTCCAGACAGTCACCTATCTTTATACCCAAAGTTGCGTGTACAATATTTATCATTTTTCCCCAATACCTTTCACCCTTATTGCCCGGTGCACTCTTAGTAATGACCAATCCCAAAGTGCCACCATCACCACAGAAGATGGAGGAGAAGAAGAAGAAGAAGGAGGACAGGACACGCCCCAATTCCTCCATCTTACTCCTCTAAACCCCCCTGTACAGAAATCCTAAACCCTGTGTTTCACCCTCTAATTAACTAATCCCTTCACCATTCACCCCGGTGAAATCCTCCTATCCTCATACAGGTGTCGTCTCCTGTGTAGGATCAAAGTCCAGCCACCAGGCACTTCTGGCAACATTCCAGGACTCCCAAGCCCCCCAAGGGTGGTCTCGGTGACTCGGCACCTCAGTCCTGAGGTGCTGAGATCCCACACCCATGGAACTGGGAAACAATTGTACAAAGAATAGCTATTTCACTATGACATTTGCATATTTTGCTGGATCCACAAGCTATCACTTGAAGGAAATTCCATTGTCAGTTCATGTGACAGTGATTATTTTTAGCATGTAGGTGCATGAAAAAGTAGATCCTTGGAAATTATTAACTAACTAAGTATTTATGAATCTTATGCCATTTTAACTTTTCAGCCTGAGAAAGGGTTATACATTTCTTGTCCATCTGTTAATCATGTCAGATGCTGCATGTGTTCTGTAAATAAATATCAACACCTTGCTAGGAGAAGTACATGCTTTCTTCAGTTCTTCCGCTATGATGTGAAAAAAGTAGCAAGGGTGAAAAATAAAAGCTTGTTTAGATACGCTCCTGCATTTTAGCAAGCCAAAACTACAGCATGATGTTAAAGGATGCACAAAGGTAAAAAAAAAAACAAAAAAACTGTCGTTTGCTTTTTCTCTATATTGTACAGAGATCAAGAAATGTCCTTGTATTAAATTGGGGTCCTTTTCATAATGTGTACATCCAACGTAGTAGTAAGGACAAACTTGAAGTAGCTACTCCATGTGGGGCTTATGGAGAATGAAAATAGCCATCTCTCCTTTTTCTCCTTGGAACAGCTGTTAAATATGTCAAGAGAACTGAGTGAGCTGAAGAAAAATCTGAAGGATGCTACTGCTGCAATTGCAGCTGAGCCTCTGACAACAGAATCTGAGCCCACATTCAACTCTACTGAAGCAGCTATTCAGTCCATGCTGGAGTGTTTGAAAAACAATGAACTTGTTAAAGCCGTCAGACAAATAAGAGAATGCAGGCAAGTTTTGCTACATGGTTCATATTAGACTTTCATGTTTTTAGAAAAGTATGCATCTATTATCTTCCTAACAAAATGAAATGCCCAGGATCAGCATCATTAATTACTGTTTCAACAAGGAACATGGGGGCATTGATACTGGCTTTTGGAGAGGTGTGCCACAAGTAACTATCAAACAAATGCTTGCAATAATTAAGATGTTTAATTACATTCTGTAGATCAAAAGTCCTGTGAGGCTCTTAAGAATCTGTATTGAGTTAATTCCTTACAGGTGCATGTCATTGGTATAAGCTAACATTCAGCTCAGTTTCACTGACATCTATTTGAATGAGTTTTCTTAACCATTTTTTTAGATAATGGAAATTGCACTTTTATGTGTACTCAGTGCCTGATAACAGAATACAAGTAACATATGAGTGGTGTAAAACACTGAGTTGCTTTAGGCTTATAAGCACGTGCAAGTTCATTCTTCTTTTAGAGATCTCTGTCACATAGCTCCTCTCTCTGCTAATAAACCCATAACGAAATGCCTGCTCTTTTCCTGTTCCATTGCAGGATTTTGTGGCCCAATGATATCTTTGGAAGCACCTCTGATGATGAAGTCCAGACACTACTGAATATTTACTTCCGCCACCAAACCCTGGGTCAGACAGGCACCTATGCACTGGTGGGCTCCAACCAGAGCCTGACTGAAATCTGCACCAAGTTAATGGAGCTGAACATCGAGATCCGCGACATGATCCGCAGGGCTCAGAGCTACCGGGTCATCAATACTTTTCTCCCAGACTCCAGCGTTTCCGGCACAAGTCTCTGACAGGACCCTTGGGCCCCCTTTCAAGCTGGGAGTGCTGTCCTGTGGGAGTGAGGTGGCTCAATGTCTTTTCAGCCTTACAAAGGCTTGGTCAAACTGTACTCACTCTTGTTACATTTAGGATTTCCTCTAAAAAGCGATGGGCTGAACTTCAAACACATAGCAATACTGTAAGGACAGAGGTAGCATAGAGCACCTGGGACAACATCCTTTGTTCTGTGTTGCACAAAAACCAGTTAGCATTTCACTGAGCAACTGCAACTCACTACTGAAGAAGTGACTTCCATTGCATACCAAAGCCTACTACACTGAACAATACTTCCTTTATAGCAAATTAATTTTTGGTTGGCAAAAGTGCAATGTTTCCTTCACAAAATAGTATTTTTTGTTAAAAAACAAACCTTGTACATTTTTTCCTTTTTTTTTTTTCTTATTTAGTTGAGTGAAAGATGGGCAGAATGAAGCTGGCCACGGAATCTCACAAACTTGTTGGTCAAAAGCTGAGAGCCTGTGTATATGAAACAAACTGTAAACAGACTATAATTTAATGTACACTGTAATTTGAATATGATTACTGTATCTTAAAACAATGAGCTGCTATGAAGTACATTTCCTAATGTTACTTGGCTACTGTCTCTGAAGGTACTGGATCATAGTGTAGAGGTCTGTTCTTAGGCCCCCCCAAGGATCATGAAAGGTCTTGATAGATTTTCTTTTTTTTTTTTATTAAGGACCTTGGCTGCTTTTTACTAGAGGTTTGCTTTTATGAATATATTTATACTATTAAAGGATGGTTGACCTAATTTAACTTGCCATTTTGTAGGAGAAAGTCCCATCACAGAGTCAAATCTTCTGAACTGTTAAGCATGCATATTTTTATTTAATATAAATTTTGAGTATAAAAAGTAAAAATATTAATGTGAAATGCAAGTTCTCATGTTAAGTTTCTTCAAAGAGAGGTCTTATTTTATTTGTAATGTATATATACAAAGTCATGACTATATGGGTTTTTTCTTACATTTAACTGCTGTCCAGTGTTAAATGTATGCATGTAAATCTGTTGCACATCTGAGACACTTTTATTCTGACAACTATGTAACTTATTCACACTGTAAATACACTTAACTGTTTTTGTGAAGTAACTTTGAAATTTGGATCAGTACATCCATTTAACTAAAGTATAAAAGTTGCATATAGTCACAACACAGTACGTGCTTGTTGTGAAAATTGTGTTCTTGTCTGAATTAGTACTGTTGTACATGGTATCCATGATTAGCAGCCCCCAAAAAATACCCAGCTCCTGGTTGATGCTGAAACCATTCATAGAAAAGAGTGAGAATTGTTACTACAGCCCAACAAAAAATCCTCAGAACTCAGCACGGAAGACTACAACAGCAAAAATAGTTTCATTGGTCTTCTGCTGACTATGAAAGCCTCTGAACTTCCTTCTACCCTAAAGAGTGCTTTTTACACTGGCACAGATACAGCCATCAAAAGGTTTTTTTTCCCCTCCTCATTTTGAACATAGGCAGCTTACACCCTTTCCCCACCTACTTTACAGCCATAGTCCTGTTCTGGCAGATAGTCTTTGATTACCCAGCAGCTGTGGTTTTTACATATACATTTGACAGAGGCAAGGGGAAGACACATTTGCATTTAGACCAGACTTTGTGCTCCAGAACATTTGCATCTTCCACCCTAGTTCAGTTTGAGTGACTGAAGGAAAAACTTGCTAGTGTAGCCTGAATCTTACCATTCCCTGAAGGCTTCAAAACAAAGTCTACTATCTTTAGGAAATCAAATGGGTTGCTTCCTTACAGATATACTTTCCTCTTTCAACCAAGGAGGCTGAAACTAAGGGATATCAAACTAGTGCAAACTTTTTGAACTTTATTTACAGCATATATTCAGTGAAATTACATACTTTAAATTATTATATTTTACAATAATACTGAAGTCTTCATCCATTATCCAATGCCACGTCAAAAGCCTTAAGTCAAAACATTACAAAAGACAAAGTGCAAAGCACAAAACAGAAGAGGGCACTTGGATCAGACAACATATTTGAAGCTGTAAGTGCTATCACAGGACAGCCTTTTGCCTTTGCAGCGGCCACAGAGCTCTTGGCGATGAGGTTTCTTGAGATCAATATGTCTCTTCCTCTGAGGGCAAGAGCAACGAGTCTTGGAGCAGATCTTAAGAAACAAAGACATGTTAGTAGTAGTAGATCAGAGAGGATGCACTTCATGTTAGACTAACATTTAGTTTACCTTAATAACAGCAACACATTGGGGCTGATATACTTAAGAACTTAAAAACTCTTGTAAAAACCCTGTGGATTTAAGGTGTAAAAGCTTTCTCACTTAGAAACACCATAAATGTAGCAAGCCATAATGCTATATGAAAACTGTCTGGATAAGCCATCCATGAGGAGGGGGCCTACCCCAATACCCATTTCCTAAATAACATTTCCTAGTAATTTGATGAAGTCAAGTTTTTTTCCAGATAAAGTCAATATCAAACTTAATAGAATTAGCATATATAACATCTGACAGTCTTAATGGAGTACAGTTAACTTACCTGGCACTGGATTGTTTCCACTCGATAGGGATTGAAGCCTTTTTGGCATTTGCGACAGAGCTGCTTGAAGTACACCTGAAAAAAATGCAAGTTCTGTTAGTAGAGAGACTTATTCAAGGTGTTGTATACAGGTACTCAAGTTTGTGCCAAAACATCTAATTTGCAGAGATTTTATGCCATTCTTACAAGTCTCAGGAGAAAAGAGATTACTTGTTAACTACCTTGTTGCTTCCAGAAATGCACCACACGTAAGCACTCTCCCATCTGGTCTTGCAGTCTTTGCAGTGGAAATAGCCATACTTCTGCTCCAAGAACTGCAGAAACAGAGTTCACTGACAGAGTTCCAGCAGCCCGAGAGCACCCAGCCCAGCTCCCTCAATACTACTCCCCAAGGATGGTGAGACACTGAAAAATATTGCCCCGGAAGCCATATAGGAAATATTTGAAGCTGTACTGAATGGGGCTCTGAGCAACAGGGTCTAGTGGGTGGCATCCCTGCCTATGGAAGGGAGGTTGCAACTGGATGACCTTAAAGCTCCCTTCCAACCCAAACCACTCTGCCATGCTTTGATCTACACTTGTGGGTTTTCACAGGCGGGGGGCTCTTCTGCTCTAGGTGAGACAGAGCCAGCCCGGGGCAGGATAGGGCCCACCGCGCTGCTCATGAGGGGATTTCTGGCCTCCCTGCTCGAGGTTCGCCCCCCGCCCTACCTGGAAGGCAGCTCTCTGCCTCGGAGCCGCGGTCTCCTCCTGCCGCGTCCCCACCGGCTCCTGGCGCGGCGGCAGCGCGGCCCCCGCCGGGCCCTCCTGCTGCTCCTCGCCGCCGTCCGCCGTCGGGGTCTCCTTTGCCGGCGCTGCCTTCTCCGGCAGCGGCGCGGCGTCGGGCGGCGCGAAGAGGCGGCGGTCGGGCGCGGCTGAGTAGAGGGCGAGGCGGCCCGGGGCGCGCAGGCCGGCGGGGCGGAAGGCGCGGGTGGCCGGCAGCGTGCGCGGCCCCAGCGAGCACTGCACGGCCACGTCGGCCCGCAGGCTCACCTGCACCGCCACCTCCTTCGTACTGGCCCAGCAAGGCCGCGGCGCCAGCGCGGGGCCCACGTGCGACAGCAGCGCCTGGAGCTGCGCCCGCCGGTAGCTTTCCAGGTAGTCGGGGGGCAGCGGCGAGAAAGGGCCGCCGAGGAAGGGGCTGATGCTGCTGCTCTTGCTCTGCTTCCAGCTGGGCTGCCTGGCCGCGGTGTCCCAGCCGCGGCCGAGAGCGGGGCTGCTCCTCCGGTTCTGGTAGGGGCCGATGGGAGAACGGACGAAGCTGTCCATGGTTATCACCCCTGAAGGTTTAGCCCTGCCTGTGTCCCTGCCCTGCTTTTATCTGACCTGGGGAGCTGATGGTTGCTAATTGATGGGGAAAGTGGCGGCAGCTGAGGGAGGGAGGGGGGCTGATGGCCAGGGAAGGCCGACCTGCCTTCCTTCTCTGCCAGACTCTAATGATGGAGAGAAGTCATTCAGCCACAGCTGGGAAAACCACGGCCTGCACAGCGAGGAGAAGCCTGCTTGCTCACAGTTCCTTCTACTCGTGGTCCTAAAAGAAGGGGAAAAAAAAGGAGTTTGGGGAACTAACAAAGTCCTGATAAACTGGGTGTTCCCCAGAGAGCTGAGCAAAGAATTTAGGCAATTACATCTCTGAAAAGAAGTCTTGACTAGTATTAAAAGGTCAGAGTATCCCCATTCTTCTGTTACTTGGGGATTATCTACCTGGAACTTTTTCTATCAACTGAAGCGCTTAAGGAAAAGATGGAATATACTCCTGTATACAAACTGAAGTAAGGGAAAGCAGTGGCTTAATATCTGTATATGAAATGTGTTAATAATAAAAGCAAGTAATAAAAGCATGTGCATATTAGTCTAATCTTCTTCCTTCTTCCATAATTACATCACTTTAGTTTAATTTTAAGGCAATACAGTTAGAATAATGTAATTAAATCATTACTGTGTATGTAACCCTTAAATCCCTGGAACTGCAGTGATGTGAAATCCTTTCTTTGTATGACTCATTACCATCTTTATAAATGTGTTGCTTTATAAAATTCACTGGGCCATCAAGAGAGACACTAGAGAAGACCTGATAGGGATGATGTCTTTAAACCTTCACAGTGTATCTGACACTTTCAAGGGTCTGAGATAAATGAGTAAGAAACAGCATTTTTACAGGACACAAAGAGATTAAGATTCAGGAAACACATTCATCATAATTAAAAGAAAAATGTCTCAAGACTCCACATGTCGCTTGGGTTTTCAAAGCACTGTCAGTATCAAAGCAAAAATAGGGTATTGATATAGCCAAGTTAAAACTTAATGATTGCAGTGTAGCTGCAAAAAAATGAAGTTTTTAAGGTGCTTTAGGAATGGGGATAGAAATCAAATTGGAAACTACATGCCATCATTTAAATCAGCAGTTGGAGTTCCTCTAAAACGCTTTGGGAAGAAAGTTACTGCAGCTTCCCAGAACACTACAAGGTTAGAAGTTAAAGTTCCTTCAAAGGACAAGGTATATGGAAAATTATTGTAGGACAAGAAACTGATGAAAGTGGCAGATGACTAAGCAGGTGATGTGATAAAACTGCAACATAAGGACTGCTGTGGAGAGGTAGCAAGAAACCCCTTTATGGCACAGGAATAGATGAACATCCCACTAAAATGAAGATTGTAAACTCAAAGTTGGTGGTGGAGAGAGTGTTCCACACATCTTGACGTTGTTCCATCACCAAAACCAAGAATTTAATGTAGAGACAAAGCAGGAATGGACATGTATGTGGAGGATAGTAACATTCTCTTTATTGGAATGTCAACAACCATGTCATGTGTCAAGGCCTACAAAGCCCCCTGAGAAGCAGAGTCTGGGGCTTGCACAGTTCACTTGCCCACGGCGCTGCCGCTGGGAGCCTTCCAGAGCCTTTTCCCGAGGGGTGGGTGTTGCTGCTGTTGCCCAGCAACGCGGGCCATGCCAGCCGTGGATGCGGTACCGCCCCCCCTCGCCTCTACACGCCACGCTGCTGGCGGCCATCCCGCCTCAGGGCACGCAGCCTTTCTGCTCTGTGCGGAGCCAGCCAAGGCGGGACAGCCCTTACGGCGGGCACCACGTGTCGCCGGCCGCAATGCCGGGCCCCGAGCGGGGCAGGCCGAGGCGGGGCCGCTCCGCCGCCTCCTTGCCGGGAGGCGGGAGCGGCGGATGCTCCCGCTGCGCAGGCGCGGGGCTGCGTTGGCGCCAAGCTTCGAACGGGGCGGCCGGGCTGGGGGTCTGCGCTGCCCCCTCATCATTCCCCGCCGCCTTCCCTGCCCGCCCCGCTCCCCTGCGTGAGGCGATGCTGCGGCCGCCGCCCCGCCCGAGGCGCTGCCGGCAGGTAACGGCCCCGCGTGTGCCTCGGCCCTGCCCCGGGACTGCGCTGTGTTTTGGGGGTGTCACTGCCGCCCCTCGGGCCTCCCTCCCTCTCCTCACAGCCCGCCGGGGTCCGCAGTCACCGAGTGTGACTCGGTGAGGGGAAGGGGGGGGGTTGGGCCCGTCCCCGGTGACCCCGCGGTGACCCGGCGGGGTTGCACAGGCCGCGCTCCGTGCGCGGTCATTGCCCCGGAGGAGCTTCCCCTCACGGAGAGCAGCGCGGGCTGGTCAAACCGCACTTTTAAAAATGTATTTCTGAGGCAGTGTTAAGTTCCTCGGTGTTCTGTCTTAATGCAGCCCGTACCCTTTTTTAAAGCGCCCGTTTCCCCACGGTTTTGGTAAGGCAGCGTGTGTAACGCGGCCATCGTGTGGGAAACGGGGTTTACTGTGGAAGGCGTAGATGTGTTAGACGGTGAAGTCTCACTATGGGCTTATTATACATGTTTTTTTAAATGGAACTGTGAAGCTGGCAGTGTCTGCTCCACCTGAAAGCAACTTTGAATCAAATTCTTGACATGTAAGTTATAATGGTTGTAGGAGTATATATGTGATAGTACATATTCCATCCTAATATAGTGTAGTGAGTGTGGGGTTTTGATTTGTGTTTAAAATACCTCAGAAATGTTCTGCCTATTCCATCGTGTCGTGTGTTTGCTGAGTGTTTTCATTATCTCTGGTATAATTCCCTGTGCTCTTGTCTGTTGTTTTCCCACCCTGTTCATCACTGTGGTGTGTGAATGCTCACATCACAGTCAAAGCAAAACAAGCTGGGCTGTGGCACACCACAAAATGCAGGAAAGCCAGCCTAAGGTGTTCAATCAGCAGTGTATGAAAGTGTTTTATTTCTTCTCAGGTTTTTCAACTGTTCCAGTAATTTAATGGATAAGAAAATGGCTTGCAAACCGGTGGAAAGACTAACTTTCTTCGAAATATTTAAGACACACTGCAGTGAATCAGGTACAGCTTATCTAAAGTAATTCTTATTAAGATTGCTTTCTGGGCACCCATATTTCATACATATTTGCTGTATGTTTCACAGGAAAGCTTTATGTGGGTTGTTAGCTGCTGTTCTTGCCCCAAACCTATTTCCTAGATTTCTTCAAATTTTTGTTTGTAGGTTTTTTTTCATGATATATTCTTATATAGTTACTTTTGTACTTGCTTTTTTAGAGTTGTCACCTCTATACATACCCACATGTTGACCAGGCTTAGTGTTTTGCAGGAGACGCCTGTGGTAGTTAGTGATTTTAAAAGGAACCTGTTTAGCTTGCCACTCTGAGCAAAATGAGAAACTAAAAGCCAGAGTATACTTGTGATTTTAAACAAACTGGATATTTTTCTGGTCCTTTGGTTATTTTGTTAATGATCTAAGAATTTGGGCAGAAATCTCTCTATATTTTGTGGTTATCAGAGTCCAAAACCATCTAGAAACAAGCATACCAGGAGTATGGCAGTGGAAGGAGCGCTGTGTTTTGCTGTCAGCATTGAAATGCCTGGTATGTTTTCACATCCTCCATGGAGGAACCTTTTTCCTTTTCATGTGATTTTCTGTATGTTTTCCTTCGTAGATTTAGGGCCCATCAGTCTTAATTGGTTTGAAGAACTCAGCGCAGAAGCACCCCCATATGAGCCCAAAGCCTTTGGAGAGCTTGATGGGCCCTCTGGCTGGCTTGATCAAACAGCTTTTAAAACCCCAAGGACAAAACCCTCTACATACAGTCAGCTGGCATCAACCCCACTGCTCTTTAAAGAACAAAATGCAATATTGCCACCTTCTTCTCCTGAAAAAGAGCCAGATCAGAAAAAAATAGGAGCAAGTGAGTAACTTTTTTTTAACCTTCTGTTGCAGCTGATGATCATTAATGTAATAGATAATGCTACTGCAGGAACTGTGGGACTAAAACGCTTATTTTAGTAGTCTTCTGAAGGTCATATATAAAAATGCAGAATTATTATTAATAGTGGATTCAGGTTGTGATAAACTGGTAATATATAAGCAAAATTCCCTGTATAAGTGATACTGTTGTGGTCCAAACATTCTAAGAACTGTTATAATGAGGGGATATGAGCTCAGCATAACCTGTGGACTGCAAATCAAAGTGAAGTTTTTTAGCAGTCTAATTTTTTTATGCAGAAGTTTTGAAGCTTTTAAAGGGAAAGCTTCATTTGAAGCTTTCCTTATCATTCTTATCATGATGAAGTGTGAGGCAACCTGTAGGGCACTCCTTAACCTTTCTTGGAAAGTTTTAGCAGCACCATCTCTTTGAGTTACTAAGATTGTAAATTATAGAAAAAACTGCATTTTTTTTCCATTTGGAGAAAAAAGGAATTTTGTGAGGTACTTCTCATATATTATTTCCAAATCCCAAGTACATCATGGAAGTTCATGACAGTGTGCTCCTTTCTGATGCACCACCCTCCTTGCCCAGCAAGAAGAACCTTTTCTATGGAGAACATATGCAACATTGTCTGTAAGAATCTCTTCTTTGGAAGAGTATTTAACCCCATTCCTGAAGTATGTGATTGGTACACCTGCTGTGCCTGTGTCCTCCTGATAAGCTTTTCTAACCAGGTTACAGACAAACACAAGGCTCCCTTTTATTACCAGAATTGTTCTTAGATCCTGTGCAAATTCTGTGAAGGGTTAGAGCTATGCTGCAGTTCAAGTATACTTTATAACACTACTTCCATGGAATATTGCAACTCTCTTTGTTTCTGCTCAACTTCTGCTGAGAACATGTTTCTTCTAAATGTGTAGCTATTTGTATTTTACAGTGGAAAGCCCCTAGGGAATTCTTGATTTCAGGAATTTCATTTGGCAGTTTCATAAATGGCAAAGGAAGGAACCTTATGATTGTTTATTTCAAAATGGTCCATTTTGGTCTGCATATGTTCAAAGGTCATGTGTGACTGCCTGAAATGTTCTGTTTTCTTGGTTAGAGCCCAGTGGCTCTTGTAAAAACAGGAGCCTGGATGGGAGCTGATGGATTTCATCCCTTGGTATGGTACTGGAATGCACCTGTGCTGTGCATATCAACTCAGGAACTCAGAAGCAGAGAGAAATGCACTCACTAAAGTGTAATTTCTGATCCTAAGGTTGTTTGGAAACCTCAGAGTAGAAATTCCTGTTAGCAGTTGATTGTCCATGTAAGGGTCTCACTGTTCATAGGATTCTACTGCTTTAGTGGGAACATTGTCTTTTGCCTGGAGATGCTTTGCCAATAAATGCTGCTGACAGTGGCAGTGGCTCCAACAACAGTTCTGGAAATAATTTTTGCTTTTTGCTGCTTATTTGAATCAATAAGTGCATGACTTAGTAAATTTGAGGGGAAGCTGCACAAACCTATGTTTGCACATGTTGTATTTTTGCTAAGAATAACTTGTGCAATGACAAGAAAGGCACAATGCAGTGCATTAAATCTGAAATGGAATGGAATATATGACTTG